AAACAAAGATATATTAGAATGACTGTTCTGATTTTTAAAAGGAACTTCAAAATTGAACATTTAGATTTATAGATCGAGAAGAGATCAATCGATCAGAAATTTTATTGGCATAATTACACCTAAGACTCTGGTTATTAAATCTAAGATTACTCATGAAAAAGTCGACCGGAAGACAAGAATATTATACAAGAAACGCAAATATGTGTTGTAGTTTATAAAGTTGGGAAAACGGCAAGTTGTTAGTGAGATTATTGACAACTCTGGATAAAAAACGAATATCAATAATTTTATTACTTCTTCAGCGTGAGAATATTTATGCTTTGAAAAGATATGTTTGACAACTAATTGTAAATGCACATAATGGGAATCGTAAGGATTTGTTATTTGCATTACTAGATGCATTATTTAAGAAAGATAAAGCATATAAGAATATAGAATTCTATTTTTATTATGAAACATTTTCATAATGTGTACGCACTTTAGTACATTTAAATACGATTTATTTCGAGTATAATAGTCGTCTTCTTATAATTCATGTATATCGGAGTCATTTATTCTTATGAACGGTGAAGTCATCAGTAAAGAACTGTAACTTTATTGAATACGTTATGCAAGTATATTATAATTTATAATAAATATAAATATTTATGGCTTTATAATAAATATAAATATTTATGGGTCCAGATGAGAGCCTTGAAGTACATTTTGACAAGGATTGATCGCAAGAAAAAGTTACGAATTCTGATGCGTTAATAACGAATAATGTTACAGTCACGTAGTAGATTGTATTAGACAAAATAAAATTTATACAATTGTATATATAAACATCTATTATACCGAATCTGAACTGATATATAAAACATCCATTTGAAGACCACGTTTGACGTTATAATGTGTAATTTCTGATAATTAGTGTGATTAATGTGTTACATTCGCAGATAATCACGTTCGAGCTTTGTGTAATATGTCAACTAAAGGAATAAAAATTAGACTGAACTGACTACCTCGTTTTGAGGACAAGTTTATTTTATTGAACAGTATAAAACTACGAGATCATCGAAAGTATCTCGTAGTTTCTTTATTTTCCTATTAATTTGACGGATTTAAATATCCTTATTACATATTAGTTATGCGCACTCTCTCGAAGATAATACTTCCTCTAACTCTCTTTCTTTTATCTATGTCCTCGGTTTTCTGTTTCTGTTTGCAAATCTGAATTTTATACGAATTTATTACGAATCTTTTAAAAGTTTCAAACGATTGATTGACGCTGGCGGCAACAATGTGAAAAAAGAAAAAATAGACTCGTAAGTCAACGACCGCGTGTCAAAACATCTAACGTTTTAAAGGCAATAAGTTTTTTTACGCAATGCTCTACATATAAAACATAAACGTGTAAAGTAGAAAATAAGAAATTGTTTTGTGCAAAAAACAAAAAATTCTGGCCTGGCTTTTAGCACAAGGATAATAAATCATCCGTTGGTTATTCAAAACACATTTTGAAATAAGCGGTTTAAATAAAAGTATACTAGCGAATCGAAGCCACTAACAATATGAATTTAGCGGAAATAATTGTTTCAAATAATTCCACAAATTATATTCACGTTACTGTGTAATTCATGACATTCGCTTCATGAATTGCATGCTTATGAATTATCTGATTTTAATATATGCATAATGAAGTTAGATTGTCACTTAGATGGGAAAATGCTAGCAGTTATGGATTTGATAAACATAATCTACGAATGAGAGATAGTAAATTGATAATTTTGTATAAAAAGAGAATGGGTATCAACGCCCCCTCGACGTTTATAGACTTTTGCTGATGTTT